TTTTTAGCCATATCAAAAATTGAATTTATCTTTTTAGATGCATTGGTGAGGGTTGTACCGATGGCTTCAAGATTAACAACTTTATTAGTTAGGTCATCACAATGTTTGCACATGGTTTTCATTTTAGCAAGCAAACTTTTATAAGCATCTTGTGAGCTAGCTAACTTTTCTTTTAATTTTTCATTTTTCTGTATAAGTTGCTCATCAATGATTGTGCATGCATTTGTTGTTGCACTAGCCTCAAGTTGCTCAATTTTAGTAGATAATTCAATATTAAGATTAGCAAATGTCTCATATTGTTTAAGCAAGGTTTTATATGCTTCTTGTGAACTATCTAGCTTTTCTTGCAATATTTTTAGCTTTTTTGTTGGCTAGTACAAGCCTTAGCATATTTAAGATTTTCTTGCACAAGTTTATTAAGAGAAGACATTTCATCACCACTATCACTCTCACTAGAGGATGAGCTTTCGTTACCTCGTTCCATAAGGCACACACGAGAAGAGCTTGATGATGAGTGCTTGTGACCTTGCCTCTTGTGATGGTCTTCTTCTTCACTTGAAGAATCATCCCATGACCATATTGATGTGAGGTTTTTGTCCTTGCACGCCTTCTTCTTTGTCTTGGGTGTGGGCTTCTTTGGACAAACTTCCACAAAGTGCCCTAACTCGCTGCATCCATAGCATTCTTTCTTTCTTTGCTTATTTCTTTGATTTGTGAAGATGACATCTTAAATTTGGATGGGCACACCCTTGACATTGAGCCTTTGGATCCTCTTCTCCACCTTGTTGATAAGTTTGATTGATTCTTCATCAAGGTCGAAGGTGGAGGAGGAAGATTGATCATCATCACTTGAATCATCATCATCATCATCATCATCATCATCATCCTCATCTTCTTCTTCATCTTCACTTGAGGAGCCTGAGCTTGAGCTTGTCTCAACTTGCTTGCCCTTCAGCTTCTTTTTCTCACTACATGTAAGAGCTTTGCCTTTGCTTGATAACGAGGCTTCTTCTTGACCCATCTTCCATGACATTTCAAATGCCACTATCTTGCCAATGACTATGGCCAGGGTCATGGTGCTCAAGTCCTCAATGTTGTGAAGGATGGTGATAATGCTTGCATATTTCTTTTACGGTAGCACGGAGATGATCTTCCTCACGATGTCCGCATCATCTAGCTTTGTTAATCCTATTGAATGGAGCTCATTGATAATTAGATTCAAACGAGAATACATATCATGAACAAGCTCATCATCATTCATTTTAAAGGAATCATAATTTTGTTTAACTAGACAATGTTTTTGCTCATGGTCATTAGTTGTACCGTCATGGTGCTCTTGGAGTTTTAACCAAATTTCATGTGCCGTATTTAAAGTGAACATTTGGTTGAACACATCGATGCTAAAAGATTCAAACAAACAATTTTTAGCTCTAGCATTGAAATAAATTTCCTTTTCTTCAATCTTTGTGGGTTTATCGGGATTCTTAATGGGTTTCATCCCGTCACGAGTGACTCTCAAAATACCTAAATCTACCGCCTCAAGGTGACAAGCTATTCTAGCTTTATAGTAGAGGAAGTTAGTGCCGTCAAAGTGCGGAGGTGTAGAGGTATCCATCCCAACCATTCTAAATAGCATTGGCTCAACGACAGTGAAGCCAAAGGTCTAAATTGTGCCAACCGGCTCCGATACCACTTGTAAGGGACCGTGACGCCTAAGAGGAGGGGTGAATTAGGCAACTTAAAATTCTACTTCTAAACTATGACCTCTTTTTCTATCCTTAGCAAAACCAATGCAAAAAGATAAACTATCTAAATGTGCAACTACGGTTTTGCTAGTATGTTGCTATCTCTACCGCAAAAAGAGTTATACAAACAATGTAAATGCGGAAGCTCAAGAGTAAGGTAGAGATATGCAAACTCCCGTCGATGACTCCGGTATTTTTACCGAGGTATCGAGAAGCGCGCAAGCTTCCCCCTAGTCATCGTTGGAGCCCCTCGCAAGGAATCCCACGCAAGGGCCAAGCTCCTGGTCGGATAACTCCGTGGATAGCTCCGGGCCTTCGCCATGCGCAAGCGGGTCTCCGGTTAAGCCACTCATGGCAAAGCCTCTCCTGGACCGCTCCCCGCCGTCTTCACTATCAAGCTTCCGGCCAAAACACCGTGGGCCTTGTTCCCTCCGGTACACGGTGGCGGCCACACCATAAACGCGGTTGGTGTGATCTCGCAAGACTACGAGCTCCTCCGATGTACAACAATGGTGCGCGCAAGCACCAAGTGGTAGGAGGTATGCAAACCTCACTAAACACTAGGCCTAACCTAGAGCAAGCGCATAAGCGGTGGTCTAATCAACCTAAGCACTTCGCAAAGCACCTACACTAATCTCCTAATGAATCACTAAGAACTATGCAAGTGGAGATCACTAAAATGGTGTATCAACACCCTTGATATGTTTTCTCAACTCTCCACATCTCAAATGGCCGGTTGGGGGTCTATTTATAAGCCCCATCGAGAAAGTAGCCATTGGGGACAAAACTCAACTTTCTGCTACTGACCGGACGCTGCTGTCGTCCTGACTGGGCGCGTCCAGTCGTCCCGACCATTAGAGCGCGCGTTGATCGGACTCTGGTCCGAGTCCGGACTCACTCAATCGGACGCGTCCGATCGTGCTAGCGCCGCTCTGGAACCTCTATGGACTCGATAGGACGCTGTACTTTGTGCGTCCGGTCGTCCAGTGCCGCTGTGTGCGGTCACGCTAAAAACATTGCCGTGACGAAGAACAATGTCATCGGTGCGTCCGATCACTGCTTTGCTCAGCGTCCGATCACAGCTGCTGACGCCTGCTGTTGCTGAGCAATTGATCGGACGCGTCCGGTGCCTATAAGGGCCGCGTCCGGTCACCTCTGCCGAGCTTGTTTCTTCGCGATCTTGCGTCCGGCTTGGTTTCCATCTTCGTGCTTGGACTATGCTTGATATCTTGGATCTTCTCTTGTGCTTCTAGGGTCTTGCTTATGGTGTTGCTCGTGGGATCATCATGTCGCCTTCGTCCAATTCACATCTTGCACCCTATTGAACTACAAAATAATTACTTGTAAATTTATTAGTCCAATTTAGTTGCGTTGGTCATCAAACACCAAAATCTAAAATAAATGGGCTTAGAGTCTATTTTCCTTACATCTTGCTAGCCCTTGCGGGCAGCAGCCCTGGCCCCTGGTACAGAGTCCACTCTGTAGGAGAGTGGATCCTTGAGCCTGGACCCACCGTGCCTTCCTTATCTGCTCGACTCCCTCCCATCTTGTCCCGTGACCACCACACTTTTCCTCCCCGTTCCTCCGCATGCACGTTTCTCGCTGCTGCGTCGAGCACCGCCGCCCCTCCCTCCCTCCTACGACCTCCATACCACCGGAGAGGAGGGGACGACAGCGGCTTCCGATGAGCCATTGCTGCTCCTCCCTCCCTCCCTCCCTCCCTCCGCGACCTCCATGCCACCGGAGAGGAGGAGGGCGGCGGGCAACAACTTCGGTGAGGTAGGTGGGTCCTTCTCTAGATTTAAGCCCTTCTTCACCTCCTCCTCTATATCTGAGTCCTCCTCCTCCTCTAGATCTGAGCTCTCCTCCTCCTCCTGCTCCTCATCCTCCTCCTCTGGATCTAAGGGACGCGGTGATGGCTAGGGTTTCAGCGAGCTCTGTTGTGGTAGCCTTGTTTTACCGTTGCAACAAGTAATATTTCTTTCTTGCATTAGTCTCCTTTTTTCTGATGTTGCATCCTCGCATTGCACTTTGTTTCTTGTTGTTGCTGTAGCGTTGTTTTGCTTTTGCAACAAGTAATTTTTCTTTGTTGCATTAGTCTTTTTTTTATGTTGCATCTCGCATTGCGCTTTGTTTCTTGTTGTTGCAGTAGCTTTGTTTTGCTGTTGCAACAAGTAATTTTTCTTTGTTGTATTAGTCTTTTTTTTATTTTGCTTTCTCGCATTGCGCTTTGTTTCTTTGTTGTTGCTGTAGCTTTGTTTTGCTGTTGCAACAAGTAATTTTTCTTTGTTGCATTAGTCTTTTTTCTGATGTTGTTTTCTCGCATTTGTTGTTTGTTCTGTTTTTGTTACAGTAGCCTTGTTATGGTGTTGTAACAAGTAATATTTATTTGTTGTATTAGTTTCTATTTTCTGATCTTACATCTCGTATTGCAGTAGCTTTGCTCTGTTATTGTAGTTGCTTTTGTTACGATGTTGCGTGAGACTTGTTACGATGTTGTATCTCGCATTGCGCTTTGTTTGATGTTGCAAACAAGTAATACTTCCGATGGGAGCGTGGTGAGGATCGGACGCACCTAAGCGTGGGTATGGCCGGGGTGGCAGGATGGCTGGAGGACAGGCGGAGGCGGTGGGATGGCAGGATGGCGGCACGGCTGGAGGTCAGGGCGCTACACGAGCGTGGGACGGGCCGCCGGATCGAAACGAGTCTATGTTCCTTTGGGTGGCGGACTTGATTTCTTTCGTGGGTGGCGGGACACGCGGACGCTAGTTTACTGTTCCGTGGGCGGGGGGCGTGGTTTCTTTCCGTGGGGGGCGAGACAGTCGGACGGGGCTCGAGGTGCGTCACGACGCGCTCCTGAATCCGGGCGTCCGGTGCTTTCATTTCGGAGTCGGATACCGCGTAGCCGTCGTCGTCGTGTTTGCCTCTCCATCGTTGGAGCTTGGATTTGGATGGATGGACTATAAAGACAAAGCTCCCGCCAATCTTCTCCCCAGTCCGTCTCCGTGTCCGCGTCGTGAAGGGCAACGGGGGGCAACCCGCTGTCCGCCTCGGTCCCCGCTCTCCGTCTACCTATAAGCCGAGGCGGCCGGGTAGCGTCGCGCGCCACGAATCATCTTGTTTTGTCCGCTCTCTGCCTGATTTGGAGTTTTGGTTGATGCTGATTTCGGCGAAGTGATCGAGGAGGCGAGAATCCCGGCTGCTGTTCTTGTAGTTACTCTTGCTAGCTGCTGTCGAGAGGCAGGAGGAAGCAGGATGCCGTACTGCGTGGTGACCGCGGCGGCCGTCGCCGGCGGCGAACAGGAGGAGGTGCGTATCTTCTACCAGCGGTACGGCCACGGCGCCACCAAGGTCCTCCTCATCATCGGTAGTACATTGTTCTTCCTCCTCTTCTCTCTCTTTTTGTTGTTTCCTTTCGTTTTCTCATCCACTGAATTGAATCCTTTGCGTTCAATTTCGTGTCACCGTTTGTCCCTAACACCAAGGATGGTCCCAATCGGATCGCAGGGTTCGCCGGGACGTACGAGTCGTGGGCCCCGCAGGTGAAGGGCCTGACGGGCGCCGTCGAGCCCGTCGACGAGGAGGCTCCGGCCGACGACGGCGACGACTCCGGCGCCGCGGAGGGCGTCGAGGTCTGCTGCTTCGACAACCGCGGCATGGGGCGCAGCTCCGTCCCGGCGCAAAAGTCGCAGTACACGTGCGTGCCCGCATCAACGTTTCCCTAGCTCTTTTGCTCTTCTCCACTCGTTTTTGGCTTGGGGACAGCGACGGAGATTCTTGCATGCTGTATCGTTCTGGTTCTAACGATGTCGCTCGCTCTTGCTCAATCCTTGGCATCGCAGGACCGTGATCATGGCCAAGGACGCGCTAGCGCTCATGGATCACCTGGGATGGCGAAGAGCGCATGTCTTCGGCCACTCCATGGGTAAGACAATTCCTTCCTCCTCATCCCCACTGCAGGTGACTGAGTCTGAGTGGTCATCGGTCTTCCTGATGTGATGACTGACCACTCTGACCGATTCTGGAACAGGTTCCATGATAGCTTCGAAATTGGCCGCAATGGCGCCGGACCGGGTCGCGTCGCTGGCGTTGCTCAACACCACCGGAGGAGGCTACCAGTGCATCCCAAAGGTAGGTGTGGTCGCCAGCAATACAGATACTGCAAATCATGTCACTTTTTAGCACTTCTCTTCAACCCGTTCAGAAAAAAGCTCCATTTGTTTGTGAGTTGAGTCACAGTCACTTGGAGAATATTTCTGTGTTTTTTTGTCGTTGTTGTGTGTTGTGTTGTGTGTCGACCGTTCTTTTGGCAATTGATTGATTCTCCGGCTCACGGGTGGCGTATTATTGGGCCACAGAAATTGACCAAAACATGGTAAATTCAAAGGAGAATTCAAAATCTGCTAGCTAGCTGACATCGACAGAGAGGAAGAGTCAACATTCGCTAGAATCAACAGTTGGTAATGACTTCGTCACACACACGCAAGGGAGACATGGGTGAAGCTTCTAGTTTGTAGCTTTAATTCAGTGGTACAGTGTGGACATTGAAAGGACCGTGACGTCTAAGAGGGGGGTGAATTACGCAATTTAAAATTTAAACTCTAAACTATGGTCTTTTTTTCTAATCTTAGCAAAAGCTATGTAAAAGATAAATTATCTAAATGTACAACTACGGTTTTCTAGTGTGTTGCTATCTCTACCGCAAAAAAGAATTATACAAACAATGTAAATGCGGAAGCTAAAGAGTCAGGTAGAGATAATGCAAACTCCCGTCGACGACTCCGGTATTTTTACCGAGGTAACGAGAAGCGCGCAAGATTTCCCTAGTCCTCGTTGGAGCCCCCTCGCAAGAAATCCCTCGCAAGGGCCAAACTTTCGCTCGGGTAACTCCGTGGATAGCCCCGGACCTTCCCCACAAGCAAGTGGGTCTCCGGTGTGCCTTTCGGCAAGCCTTTTCCGGACCGCTCCCCGCCGTCTTCACTATGAAGCTTTCGGCCGAACCACCGCGGGTCTTGTTCCCTTCGGTACACGGTGGCGGCTACACCACAAACGCGGTTGATGTGATCTCGCAAGATTACAAGCCCCTCCAATGTACAACAATGGTACGTGCAAGCACCAAGTGGTAAGAGGTATGCAAACCTCACTAAACACTAGGCATAAACCTAGAGCAAGCACATAAGCGGTGGTCTAATCAACCTAAGCACTTCGCAAAGCACCTACGCTAATCACCTAATGAATCACTAAGCACTATACAAGTGGAGATTACTAAAATGATGTATCAACACCCTTGATATGTTTCCTCAACTCCACTATACTCAAATGGCCGGTTGGGGATCTATTTATAAGCCCCACTGAAAAAGTAGCCGTTGAGGGCGAAACCCAGCATTCTGCTACTGACCGGACACGTCCGGTCGTCTCGACCATTGAGCACGCGCGCTGATAGGACTCTAGGCTGAGTCCGGTCATCATCGATCGGACGTGTCCGGTCGCGCTGGCGCCGCTCTAGAACCTCTCTAGAAACAATCGGACGCTGCACTTCGTGCGTCCGGTCGTCCAATGCCGTTGCGTCCGGTCATGCTGAAAACATTGCCGTGAAGATGAACAGTGTCGCCTCAGCGTCCGGTCACTGCTTCACTCAGCGTCCGGTCACAGTTGCCGACGCCTGGTGTTGTCAAGCAACTGATTAGAAGCGTCCAGTCCTTATTAGGGCCGCGTCCGGTTACATCTGCCGATCTCGTTTCTTCGCGATCTTGCGTCCGGCTTGGTTCACATCTTCGTGCTTGGACTTTACTTAATATCTTAGGTCTTCTCTTGTGCTTCTAGGGTCTTGCTTATGGTGTTGATCGTGGGATCATCATGTCACATTCGTCCAAGTCACGTCTTGCACCCTATTGAACAACAAAATAATTACTTACAAATTCATTAGTTCAATTTGGTTGTGTTGGTCATCAAACACCAAAATCCAAAGTAAATGGGTCTAGGGTCAATTTTTCTTATAATCTCCCCATTTTTTGTGATTGATGACAACACGACCAAAACAAGCAAATATTAAAAATTTTGGAATTAAAAAAATATTTACTTGCTAGTATGCAATGCAAAGGGAAATGTTATATGATGCTAAAAGATACCACATGTAAACATCTTTGGAAACTTATCTTGTCCTTACAAATATCCCCATGTGGCATTATAGATTTAAGCCTCTCCCTAACTCCATAATCCACTATCCTCACTTTCTCGGACCATAACCACTTGTAAATTATTATGATTGGGCTTACTTTTGGTCCTACAGATTCTCCCCCTTTGGAATCAAACACCAAAAAGAAAGACATTAGTAGCACAAGGGAGGGTCAAACTTTATGATCATTTGTATGTGGAGTGGAATAGGTCACAAAATTTGACTCTCACATTACATAGACTAAGCTCCCCCTAAATATATGCATACATATGATGAAGAATGTAGTTTATGCATAATTAGCAAATTAATGCTCAAGGGAGTTTAATCTATATAATGCATGGAGAAATCATATAAATACCAAAGTGAAATCAATATGATGATATCGGTTTAAAAATACCACATTTGAAAACCAATTTAATTTATACCACTTACAATAGGTGGTGGATATTTGAAGTATGATGCTTAACTCTGGGGGACTCCATTTTTCTTGCAATGAGACTACTACACACATGATAAGCTTTAAAAAGGTGTTAGTCTCAAAGCATCCAACTTGTAGAATAACCTCCTCCTAAATTTGTGCACACAAGTATGAAATACTTATAGGAGACATGCACATTGATTTTAGAATCAGAAATACCACTTGAAAGATGACATCACATGAATGTGAGAATTATTTTCGAAAGTAATATTCGAGAGAAATTATCTATAATTTAGACTTTGACACATATTAGATGAATAATTATAAAACAAGCTATGTGTCGTACTCCTAAACAATTTAAACCATGTAGGTTTGCTCCAAGGGTTAAGAGTGAAACTGAGCAAATCTATCATAAGATATACCTAGTGTATGCGTGACAAAGTATTTAAGCATGCAAATGCAAACCTAGGCATGAAAAGGAACTAGATGCTAATTGAAATTGTAAGAAATTAAATCTAGTTACCTAACATGGGATGGGGAATTTGGCTCTATAATGTTCACTAACCCACTTGGCAATTGACATGATCCAATGTGATGCACCCTATGAAATACACCCATACTTTGCCAAGTCTCCAAATTTCTCAAAGTCCATCGGACTTCTCACTAACCTTTCATGATCCAAACCTTCTTGGTGCTCTTCATGTTGAAAATGATCTCCTTTGGCACCCAAATGCGTTTGGCCCCATTGTTGGCTTGCTTGTTCACCTTGATGGCCACCACATTGTCATTTTTCTTCTTCTTCAAGAGATAAGGTGTGGAGGCCTTTTCATCCACCTTGTTGGTGTAGATGTTGGAGAGCTTGCTTGTATCCTTTTTGTTTTTCTCTTTCTTCTTAGCTCCCCCCCATTCTTCACCTTGCACTCATAGGACTTGTGGCTTCCATGTGGCATACGTAGCAAACCATGGTTTTTCCTTCATCAAGCTTCTTCACTCCCTTGTCGGTGTTATCTTGATGAAGTTGGGCTTGCTCCGTCTTGCCTTTCACTTTGAGTCAAGTCCTTGGTGAGGCGAGCCACTTCTTACTTGAGTTGCTCATTCTCCTTTGCGACCTCTTATGTGGATGTTTCTACAACAATTTTTTCAACACAAACTTGGTTGCACAAGGGTGAGTCTAAACATAAATCATTACAAGAAGTAAATGCATCCTTTTTAGGCATGTCAAAAATAGAACCTTCCTTTTTAGGTGCCTCGGTGGGGGTAGTACCGACGGCTTCAAGATTAACAACTTTATTAGTTAGCTCATCACAATGTTTGCACATAGTTTCTATTTTAGCAAGCAAACTTTTATAAGCATCTTATGAGCTAGCTAACTTTTTCTTTAATTTTTTATTTTTCTTTACAAGTTGCTCATCATTGATTGTGCAATAATTTGTGTTTGCACTAGTCTCAAGTTACTCAATTTTAGTATATAGCTCCATATTGAGATTGACAAAAGTTTCATATTATTCAAGCAAAGTAGTATAAGCTTGTTGTGAGCTATCTAGTTTTTCTTTTAATTTTTCAAGCTTCTTTTGTTGACTAGTGCAAACTTTAGCAAAGTTAAGATTTTCTTGCAGAATTTTATCATAAGAAGGTAGCTCATCATCATTATCATTGTCACTATCACTAGGGATATGTTTTTTGTTACCTCGTGCCATAAGGCACACACGTGAGATGCTTGATGATGAGTGCTTGTGCTCTCGCCTCTTGTGATGGTTTTCTTCTTCACTTGAAGAATCATCCCAGGACCTTATTGATGTGAGGGTTTTGTCCTTGCACGTATTCTTCTTTGTCTTGGGTGTGGGCTTGTTTGGACAAACTTACACAAAGTACCCCAACTTGCCGCATCCATAGCATCCTTTCTTTTTTTGCTCATTTATTTGATTGGTGAAGATAAAATCTTAAATTTGGATGTGCACACCCTTGACATTGAGCCTCTAGATCATCTTCTCCACCTTGTTGATAAGTTTAATTGATTTTTCATCAAGATCGGAGGTGGAGGAGGAAGATTGATCATCATCACTTGAATCATTATCATCACCATCATCATCATCATCGTCTTCTTCTTCATCTTCACTTGAGAAGCTTGAGCTTGAGCTTGTCTCAACTTGCTTGCCCTTCATCTTTCTTTTCTCACTACATTGAGAGCTTTGCCTTTGCTTGATGAAGGGGCTTCTTCTTGACCCATCTTGTGTGATATTTCAAATGCCACTATCTTACTAATGACTATGGCCGGGGTCATAGTGCTCAAGTCCTCCATATTGTGAAGGATGGTGATGATGCTTGCATATTTCTTTTGTGGTAGCACAAAGATGATCTTCCTCACGATGTCCGCATCATCTAGCCTTGTTAATCCTATTGAATGGAGCTCATTGATAATTAGATTCAAATGAGAATACATATCACGAACAAGCTCATCATCATTCATTTTAAAAGAATCATAATTTTGTTTAGCTAGACAATGTTTTTACTCACGGACATTAGTTGTGCCGTCATGAAGCTCTTGGAGTTTTAACCAAATTTTATATGCCGTATTTAAAGTGAACACTTGGTTAAACACATCCATGCTAAAAGATTCAAACAAGCAATATTTAGCCCTAGTATAGAAATGAATTTCTTTTTCTTCACTCTTTGTGGGTTTATCGGGATTCTTAATATGTTTTATCCCATCATGAGTGACTCTTCAAACACCCAAATCTACTGTCTCAAGGAGAAGTTAGTGCCGTCAAAGTGCGAAGGCCTAGAGGTATCCATCTCAACCACTCTAAATAACGTCGGCTCAACGGCGGTGAAGTCAAAGGTCTAAATTAAGTCAATCTGGCTCTGATACCAATTGAAAGGGGACCGTGACGCCTAAGAGGGGGGTGAATTAGGCAACTTAAAATTCAAACTCTAAACTATAGCCTCTTTTTCTAACCTTAGCAAAACTTATGCAAAAGATAAACTATCTAAATGTACAACTACGGTTTTGCTAGTGTGTTGCTATCTCTACCGCAAAAAAGAGTTATGCAAATAATGTAAATGCGGAAGCTAAAGAGTAAGGTAGAGATATGCAAACTCCCGTCGACGACTCCGGTATTTTTACCGAGGTATCAAGAAGCGCGCAAGTTTTCCCCTAGTCCTCGTTGGAGCCTCTCGCAAGGGTCAAGCTCCTGGTCGGATAACTCCGTGGATAGCCCCGGGCCTTCCCCACGCGCAAGTGGGTCTCTGGTGGGTCTTCAGGCAAGCCTTTCCCGGACCGCTCCCTGCCGTCTTCACTGTCAAGGTTCTGGCCGAACCGCCGCGGGCCTTGTTCCCTTCGATATATGGTGGCGGCCACACCACAAACACGATTGGTGTGATCTCGCAAGATTACAAGCCCCTCCGATGTACAACAATGGTGCGCGCAAGCAACGAGTGGTAAGAGGTATTCAAACCTCACTAAACACTAGACCTAAACCTAGAGCAAACGCATAAGCAGTGGTCTAATTAACCTAAGCACTTCGCAAAGCACATATGCTAATCATCTAATGAATCACTAAGCACTATGCAAGTGGAGATCACTAAAATAGTATATCAACACCCTTGGTATGTTTCCTCAGCTCCACTATACTCAAATAACCGGTTGGGAGTCTATTTATAAGCCCCACTGAAAAAGTAGCCGTAAGGGGCGAAACCTAGCTTTCTGCTACTGACCGGATGCTGCTGTCGTCCTGACCGGACGCGTCCAGTCATCCCGACCGTTGAGCGCGCGCGCTGATCAGACTCTGGGCTGAGTCTGATCATCATCGATCACACGCTTCCGGTCACGCTGGCACCGCTCTGGAACCTCTTTGGAAACGATCGGACGCTGCACTTCGTGCGTCCGGTCGTCCAGCGCCGCTGCGTCGGGTCACGCTGAAAACATTGCCGTGACGATGAACAGTGTCACAGGTGCGTCCGGTCACTGCTTCGCTCAGCGTCCGGTCACTGCTGCTCAGTGTCCGGTCACAGCTGCCGACGCCTGGTGTTGCCAAGCAACTGATCGGACGCGTTCGGTTCTTATCAGGGCCGCGTCCGGTCACCTCTGCCGAGCTCGTTTCTTCGCGATCTTGCATCCGGCTTGGTTCCCATCTTCGTGCTTGGACTTTGCTTGATATCTTGGGTCTTCTCTTGTGCTTCTAGGGTCTTGCTTATGGTGTTGATCGTGGGATCATCATGTCGCCTTCGTCCAAGTCACGTCTTGCACCCTATTGAACTACAAAACAATTACTTACAAATTCATTAGTCCAATTTTGTTGTGTTGGTCATCAAACACCAAAATCAAAGTAAATGGGATTATGGTCTATTTTCCTTACAGACATCTCTGGTAGACAGAAAACAAAAATGAATTATAGTTCCTTTCAGAAAAAAAGGGAAAATTAATTTGCCTTTTTTATTTTCTTAAAAAAATTACCTTTTGATTTCTAGCTGCTGATATTTGTTGGAAGGATAGGAGTAGGACGATCTTTTTGGGCCGCGATCACGACCTCCTTATATATACGTTAAATTTGAGAAAGCTACGGTGATTTTAAGTTTTGGACCATTTTGTGCCAAATGGATGATGCTCCTTGGATAGACTCATAGACATATCTATGTTGAACAATTTGTTGGGTTCCTTCTACTGGTTACAACTCAGAACACTACATACATACTTCAACACAACTTTGGCCCTTTTCGGTATTTCTGCAAATCATGGTTTCTTTTTAAAAAAAATAGTTATTTAAAGTTTCGATGTTTTGTGTTTTATAACTAATTAAAAATTAATCCACTCATGTTACTGACAAAAGTTCGCATTTACCTCTACAGTGCATTGGTTAGCCACTGTTTTCAATTTGGGTGTTGGTGAATAACTATTTTCTTTGCTGCTGTCACTGCACTTGCGCTGACCCGGTTTTTAGGAGTAAGCTCGTCCTAATGCCAATGGCATTTTCAATTCCAGATTGATTGGCACACGATATCTCTTGCATGTCGTTTTCTGAGAGCAAGAACGCCAGAGCAAAGAGCCATTCTCGATCTTGAAGTCCACTATACGAGGGTTGGTGACCACTTCTCTTTTTCTTTTCCCCTCGAGAATACGATTTGCTTATGCCCACGCAAAATTTGTCCAAGGGGATAAACTGATTTAAAAATCATATCATACTGCAGGAATACCTTGAGGAAGTTATTGGAACAAGTACCAGAAGACAGATGCTTTATCAGGTAAGAAGTTATGAACCATTGAAGAACAGTGAAGGAAGTGAACTCTTTAAGTGTTAGCCCATATATCTGTTTAACATGATAAATTTCTTTAGTAAACAGGAACATGGGATTATTGACCTGTCCTATAAAACCAGATTTGGTGACAACAAATAGGACAACATTTGTAATATCTGGACAAGAACGCCTATAGAAGTCAAAGATACAAAACAACCCATAGAATTATGTATCTGATTAAGTATGTGATTATCAGACATGTATAATATATTTTCTTTTCAGGAATATGTTAAAGGTCTGTCATTCTGTGGCATGCAATCCAGATATGGATTTGAGGGCAAATCAATGCTTGCTGGACACATAAGCTCTCTCCGACAGAATTAGACAGGATTCGCTTCGCAGGTTTCCTTGTTCTAATTATTCATGGCAGGTAACTGAAAAAACTCGCACAATCCATTATTGTCCATTGATCGATCCACACGATACTGATCAGCAATACACTCTTGACATTTCATCAGGGATGATGTCGTTGCTCAGTTGTATCGTGCAAGGAGGCTTGCACAGAAGCTCCAGCCTGCCGCTAAACTGGTTGAGCTCCACGGAGGCCACCTTGTGAGCCATGAAAGACCAGCTGAGGTATACAAAATATTACATTTATGTAGTGATGGAGCTATTGTGTCACACATATAACTGATAAATTCCTCTGCAGGTTAATATGTCACTCATGGAGATGATGAAGGCATCGAAATCAAATACAGACCTAGAGGAGTGGTCAAACCTTCCAAACAATTCTGATGGTCTTCTTCTATCTGGATCAGCAAGTTGTCTTACCAAAAGAGACGATGACAGAGTGAATTACCTCGTCTTCACATACAATCTACTCGGGAAGCTCCAACTTATTTTTCTCTTCATCTTTGGAGTGTTCTATGTAATTCTTGAACACGTGAGGAGAGTTGTAAGAATTTTGAAGCCTGTCAGGGTGTCTGCTTCCACCTTATAGGTAAACACTGTTTGACACATTCCTTGTTCAGTCATTTTAAGTTGCTATATATTGGTATTGATAGACTGGGAATTGACAAGAAATTTACCTTGCAGAGTAATTAGCAAGTCAACTATTGCAGTCTAAGTTCTCCTTGCTTCGGGAAACTGTGAATTTATAAAGAGATACAGTCCCTAGTACATCCGGCAAAAATGTTGTTGCAGAAGCTGGGCAAGTGAGCATTACAGGCGGTCCTCCAAGCAATTGTTTTGATGAATGTGTGTTGCATTGTACAGTAGATTTGTAGTACCACTAAAATGAAGTACATATCCTTCTCATCGGAATGCTTTCCGTTTGTCATATATATATATATATATATATTGAACAAATGCAAGCGTTGCAAAATCTGATTGGACTTAACGAGAAAACATTAGCATACAAAGGATTTTTTTTCTTTAGAGAAATGATTAAAAAGTTTCGATCTCAGCTGAGCCATAATAACACATTTAGAATTCTCGAGTGTTTATTCGCAATCATTTTGAGTATTCAGATCGTTTACAGCGGCATCAGGCGCCGTGGCATCTGACATAGCAAGCTATACATACATTGTGAACAACAAGAACATTCAAAAATGAGTCGCGAACACGTCTCAACTCTCAAGCACACTCATGACGTACGATGCATTGGATTTTGTCTTGAATGCCATGCTCAAGTCAAGCTCATGTATAGGCCACCCTGCTGCTGCTGGTGCGCGTGCTGACACCGAACCGCGGCGGGGTCCAGTCCCCTGTGCCGCTCGAGTCCGGGCTGTACCCGGCGATTGCACTGCCGTTCTGGCCTGAGCTCGACGTGTCTCCGGCTAGCCCGCCGCCGGACCGGCTCCTGGCGTGCGTCGGTGTAGCCGACGGCGGCACGGGACGCGCCTTGGCTCGAGCGGACCTTGTCGCGGCCATGTAACGTGGGATCGCGGGTGGCCGCCCGTGCGCAACCGTGGCGGCCTGGGTCAGTGGGCTCCGGGACGTCGTCTCCATCTCCACCGTCTTCTCCGACATGCCGTTCGGGAAAGCAGCGGCCGCTGTGACGTAGGACGTCGTCCTGGTGGTGGTGCTCTGGTTCGCCTTGGCGTGGTCGGGCGCGTGCTCCTGCTGCTGCGCGCTGCGTCGCGGCCATCCAGCGCTCCAGCCAGTGGAAGCCCAGGCCGGCTTTCTCGTCCTCCTGCCGCTGGCACTGCCGCTGCTCATGCACGCCAAACATTTATCAGATCGGCAATTCGGCATCAGGTAGTAGCTGGTAGCAGAGACACGCGCACCTGCTGGTAGGCGTAGGCGTAGGCGAGCGCCCGCTCCCGGCGTGCGGCGGCGTCGTGCCGGCGCGCGCCCTTGGCCCGGGCGTCCTCCAGGGTGCGGCTACTGCTGTCCCAGGCGCCGGAAGGGCTCCTCCCCCCGCCGCCGTTATCCTCGCCTCTTCCGAACCTGCCTCTGCTTCTGCTTCTCTGCTGCAGCAGCAGGTCTGCCACCTCGCCGTCGTCACTGACGTCGTGGTGGCGGCCCTGCAATGCTAGGTCGACGCATGGTGCTCCTAGCAGGGTGGAGCGGCTGGCTGGAGGCGTCGCCGGCGGGAGGAGGAGGAGCGGGTGTTGGGTGACGCGACGCGCGCGGACGCGGGCCTGGGCTCGGACGAGTGCCTGCATGCAGCGCATGCTGAGGTGCACCTGCCGCCGCACCTGGTGACCGCGCACCAGCGCCTGCAGGCGCACCAGGCCACGTAGTGCGCGCAGGGCTCGCCGGGCCTGAAACAAACCAAATTTTGGATTGGACAGATATAACATGTACAAAATCTCCTCGATCTACTCTTTGTCGACGAAATCAGTAGCCAAAAGGTACATGCTACGGACTGTTGTCGAGTAAAAAACTTAAATTGAGGGTGTAGTAAAAAAACAAAAGGATTGTGTATATACTAACCCGAAGAAAACATTAGTCAACCACTCCAATTTGGATCTCTATTTTTTTCAAAATATTCTTTTTTATTGAAAAACCAGATAAGTCCTACTAAGCTGGTCTCATTTTGGATGTTGTATTGGCAGTTGGCACCCATTTTAGAAAGGATTGTCTACGCCATGCCCAGGTGAAAAACTTATCTCCTACACACATTTGTGAGCATGTTATAACAACAATTCAGGTGTTTAGAGGAGTTATAGACCCAGATTTAAGGTCTTGTAAGAATTGGATGAAATGTTTCTTCACCACACTTGAATTTTTTTGTTACATCAATTATATCTAGAAATTACACCAAAATAATCAGAGCTACATACTCTACTACAAAGCTCAAGAGGGTGCTTTATACAAATATACCAGATTCAACTACCCTATTACTAGCTAGTTTCCCACTAGTTAACCCTTCTGATTTTAGAGTTTTATTTTAGAACCTGCCGATAGGGCCGGTTATGTATTGCTAGAAATTACTACTCTCTTCGTTCCAAATTATATGACGTTTTAGCTTTTCTAAATACATTATTTTTACTATATATCTTAACATAATGTATATCTGTGTTTAGAAAAGCCAAAACATATCTTATTATTTATAATGGAGGGAGTAGTAGCCAATCTTTACTAAAAAGATTAGTTTACACAAAACTTTTAGTAACATGTACTACCAAATTCAGAATTCAAATAATTGCGGCAGCAGAGTGATCGCTGGTAGTACGATGCGATGGTAGAGTTTCTTCTAGAGGATGGATACGGAAGCAGCTATAGTTGCACTGGGCAATTTATTACTATACTTGAGACATGAACACCGCACCAGCTTGACCACTCATTAGCGTAACTCAATTGTATCTTTACAAAATAAAGTCTGAGAGAGCGAGGCAGGCAGGTGAAGAAATCATAATGACTTCACCACGCCGCGCTGGCATATATATACTGGCTTCATACGTGAAAACAGTAGGCATATTTTATTTAGATAGGAAAAGCCTTTAGGTGCCGTTTGGATATTGGGATACAAGGGATGGGATATGGAAAGAGAAATGAATGAATGGCTAGGATTAAATGAGATGGGAAGAACGGATGGCTAAGATACAATATTTTATATCCTTATCCCCGTCCCCATCCCAATCCAAACATGCCCTAGCTTACTCTGTGAATTTTATGTGATACAAAATCAGTCAGTCTATGAATTTAGTATCATTTACGTGACACAAAATCAGTCAGAAGCATATATTTTTGGGAAAATGGTGTTCTTGCCCCTGTCCAACAGTCCAATTGTGATTTTGTCCTTGTTTTTTCAACTTTGTGATTTTGCCCCTATTATTTTAAAATAAACCATCCGTTTGCCCCTGGTTTGGATGTCTGTTAGATGGACATGGAATAAATGAATTAAAAAAATCAAAATCCCTGCAAACAGAGGCAAAAAGACCATGTTGCCCCTCATCTTATCTTCAACCTCCGGCTCGTCCAGCCACAGGCAAACCACACGGGTCAGGGATAGATCGAGCGGGGGTGCACGCTTCTCCTCCAGAGTGGTTGGTTTCAGCTTAGCAAGCATCGCGGGGCGTCGGCCGGTCCCAGCCGCGAGGCGCGTTGTGCGGGGGACGGTGGCGCCTGGCTGCGGGGCGCGGCGCTTGCCCACGACCGCGGCGCGCGCAGGGCAGCAGCGGTGCCCGGCCGCGACGCTCGGGTAAGGCACGTGGGCGTCGCGGCATGGCCGGCGGGCTTGAGGGAGAGGGAGGACCTCCTCGCCCAGATCCACGCCACCGGAGAAGGAGACAGAGGAGCTCCTCGGTCCCCGTGCCGCGCCATCGCTGGAGGGAGGAGATAGGGGGCTCCCCCCGCGCCGCCACCGGATCTGACGTCCCCGCCAGCGAAGCCACCGGATCCATCGCCCACGCGCGCGCACCATCGCCGGAGGGAGGAGAGAGGGGCTCGATCCCCCGCACCGCCACTAGATCGGGTCGGGGAGCAGAGGAGCGTCGCGGATCTCGCCCCCGCCACATCACTCCGCCTCGAGCCGCGAGGGACGCGGGCTGCAGCCCTCACCATCGTGCCACCACGAGCTCCATCCACCAAGCGCCCGGGGAGGAACGCCCACTGGGGGGAGTGGTGAGGCGGCGCCGAGCTAGAGAAGGAGAGGGAGAGAGGGAGGGAGGGGAGGGGCACGCAGATGTGAGGAGAGAGGCGTGGCCGCCGCGCCGCCCTTGTGTCGAAATTTGGGACGCAGAGCGAGAGGGAGGGTAAAATCACAAGGGCATATTTGTTCTTTGGTACAAAAGTTAACACCGTTAGGGGTGGATGACGGAGCAGGGGCAAACTGGTGTTTCGTTTTGAAATCATAGGGGTAAATTTACAAAAGTCAAAAAAACAGGAGTAAAATCACAATTTCGATACAAAACAAGGGTACAAACGCAAGAACCCCTATATTTTTCAATACAAACCAGATGACACCTATTTTGTATATTGCAGAAATCAAGTGTTGAAAAAAATATTGACCAAAGCTTGTCTTATACCGAAACCTAATACTACACAATAATTTTAAAGGCAGAGGAAGCATATAACCAAATTCTAACATGCCTCCGATTTGAGTGACTCAGATTTATTGTGGTTCTATTCTATTTAATTTGTTATATAAGTGGCATGTTCGCTTGGCTGATAAGCCATGGCTGAAAGTACTGTTGGCTGATTTGTTGTGAGAGAAAATAGTTTGTCTACTACACAACTATATGTTTTATGCAGTTTCAACACATGAATTCTTTTGCACCATACGATTAAGATCCAATAACCTCCACCCTTCTTCTACCTCTAGCCTCCACAGATCATAAATCACAATTTTTTTCTATGGAAGGACAAATCACAGGTCCGCCGCCGCCACCGCCACGGCCATGGCTGGTGCGGGCGTGGGGGCAAGCTCGCCGGTCGCCGTCTCCGACGCGGGTGGTCACCGGTGAGAAAGAGAGAGGGAGAGAGATAAAAAAAAATCATGTGTTTTTTTTCTTCTAAAACACACATGTATTGTATAGCATTTCGGAGAAAGAAATAATGTTCGTTGGTCGAAAAAGACGGCTTATAAGCCAAACAAACAGGACGAAGGTTTGTGAAGGGTTAAAAATATCTTTTTTCGTAAGAAAGGTACTACTAATTGTTTTTCAGTAGTAGTGCTCCAAGACAAATCTTAGCAGACAAAATTGTACTTCTACGTACAATTATTACTCTACATCGACTTCAGTTAGGAGCCAGTTAAAAGAGGCCAAATTAAACACATAGCGGAGAGCATGAGAGGTCGAGCAAAAGTTGCGGTGGGTTGGGTGGTGCACGTAGTTACGGTGGACACATTCCGTGTGTGAATGTTAACGGCAGCGCCCATCTACCCAAACGAAGGACCGGAACCGGCCGCCATAAAAGCGCACTTACTCAGCTCGGCAGGGCTGGTCTGGTAGGTGGATGCCATTGCCCGTTGCCACAACCCACAACAGGTCATCAGGCATGCAGATGCAGCACTACTGGTACACATCGCCACCGATGGAGTTGATGTACGATCGATGATTCCACAGCAAGTCACCGTTGTTGTCATTCTTGCCAAATCTCCCTCCCTACTTGTGCTGTAAGCAAGCGATCTGCTGCTTGATCATTCCCTTGCAGCTGCCTCCATAGACCTGCCTGCCACCTTATAAAGTCATCACCTGATTTTAACGCCCGATCTTACCTTGCTTCCCCATCATTAGCACGAGTAGTATTGTGTCAAAAAATTAAACAAGGGCTCTCCACCTACTAGGCTACTAGTCACTGATCGACCAGTCACCTTTTATGCTTCTTCTCGCCATCGTCACCCTCTTCTTTTCCTGAATATATATTTTTTCTGCAGCTGTCAAACTGATTGGCCCTTAGCCAGTACGTAGTGTGTAAGGACGACCCTAATTGCAAGTCCTTGATTAGGATGCCAATGTTTACTCTCCCATCCAGAAGGGATACATCATATGATGCAGATTAGCATGTACACACAATGATGCATTGAAATTTTGAACAATGTATAATTCGGATGGGAAGGGAAACTGAAGTTGTATGTTGAGCAGCCCAGTGATATGGACCTTAGCTTGGGGGCACGTACGTACGTACCAGGTATCCGCGGTAGTAGGCCTGGATGCGCACGGCGGCGCGCTCCTCCCGCGACAAGCGCCGGAGCGCCGCCAGCCGCACCACTCTGGCTGCCGCCTCCGCCGCGGCCACGGCGGCCTCGGCCGCGGCCGCCAGCGCCCGCGCGCGCTCCATGTCGTCGGCCAGCATCAGTTCCTCCGCTTCTTCCTCGTCCTCCTGACGACGACCATTCTTCCTCACTGCTGCTGCCAGTGCCGCCACCTCCGCATCCCCGCCCTCGTTGTCGTTGCTCGCCTCCGCCGACGTCTCGGACGCTGGGAAGTGCTCCAGCAGCAGCACCTCCGGCTCCTCGGTGGCCTCCTCCTCGACGGCGCCGTCCTGACACGCACGCACAGCATGCAAAATGCATCACGCACGGCACGGCGGCACGACTCGCTCACCATCGCCATGAATATGACGATCGCAGGCTCGCAGCACCATGGCATGGCAGCCGATCGAAATGCTAGCTAGCTAGCTCGTCAAGAACTGTGGATATCAGAACGGGAAATCGCATTGGCAAGTGCGGGGCGCCTACCTGTTTCCCGTGCTGCACGGCATCCTTGTCCTTGGACGAGGTGGTGGCAGAGGAGGAGGAGGAGGCGGACGGCCGGAACACCTTCCTAACGGCGGCGAACCAGCCGCCGCCGCCACCTGCCGTGTGCTTCTTTCCCATGCCTGCCTGCCCGCGCGACGGGCAACGATGGCCCGGCTGGCGATGAGCTGCTAAAATCTGCCAATCTGGAAGCGGGCCGGAGCGGCGAGAGGAAGGAAGGAGGAGGCAGTAAATGTGGGCGACGCGATGGCGCCAATTTAACGCCCACCCGCGCGTGCTCTGCTTGTGGGGCCGGCGGTGGTATAGTAGTGCTCTCTGCTTGTGGGCCCCGCATCACAGGTGAATGGACGGAGCAGTTGGGTGCTATACCAGATTTTCCTGTCGTCGTGGGGCCTGTTCGCTTGTCCGAATTCTGGAGAAATCTGGATGGTTTGAAGGAATGCTGAAGAAATTTATGAGAGAAAAACACTGTTCCGAATAAAAAAATAAGCGGATCAAGCCGGGTTTAAGGGCACGCGAACGGGGCCGTTTACTCGTGTCGCTGCTACAGTGTACCGTCTCTCTGATCCTTGGAACAGAGTTATGTTTAAGGGCCTGTTTGATTTTCATAAGTCAGGTGATTTATTAAGTTAGGTGACTGAAAACCAGTGATTTATAAGTCATGCCTGTTTGATTGTATATGACTTATAAGTTGGTGGTGTTTCTTAAAAGGTGTGGGCCCCACGTGGAAAAAAGGTGGCTTATAAGTTTTAAGCAGGGGTGAACCAGCTTATTTCTTATAAGCAGGGGTGACTTATAAGTTGGTGGTGTTTGACAAAATAAGTCACTTATTTTATTTTTTAACTTATACGTAGGTGACTTATTGGAAACAAACATGCCCTAACTCTGAACTCTTCCAAACTCTGGCTGTGGAACTAAAAAATTGATTCCTTATTAATATAATAATAGCTCAAAAACCACTGGGCTTTGTGACAAATTTTACACCCGCGAAGTTCTCTTTCGGTTCCATATGGAAAATGTTGTCGAATTCGCGGACCAGAGTACATGCGTAGCAGCACAGTACAGTGAATGAAAGTGTGGAAACGTTCACCGTATACAAAAGGCGACCTGACACTGAAGTAGCAGTAGAATTTCCCGTCCATCCCCATTTGGGTTGGCATCTGGTAGCAAGACGGTCTTCAACGAGAAATTTATACGGGCACTCAAACTTAAAATAGTTACGAGAGATATAAAATTAGCCTCCAATATACTAACCATACGGAAGACCTATTTTAGGTTGCTTATGAGTATCATCTCTTCTGAAAACCTATTTACAGAAAGAATTATCTTTTGGGTCCTGTCGTTGGAGAAGATGTCGAATGAGTATTGAGGTCAAATAGGTCTTATATTTTGAGTGTCGTTGTTGAAGATAGTCCAGGACACTTAGTTGTAGGCGCAGTACAGGACTACAGGCTGCAGGGGAAGAGCTCACATGCAGGTGGACTGACTGACTGTCTGACCCCGATTCAAGTGAAAAAAATCTGGTCACTGCTGCGCAGGGATTGCTGAGTAGGACGACGCGAGCATGCTGGTGATTTTGAGCCGCCAATCTGCGTTTAGCTTAGCTTGGAGTCTACACAAAAATTATACTCCTCCCAGCTAGGAAACAAAAGACGAGGCTTAGCTTAAGACAAAGGATGCCTTAGTAGCTAAAATCCATCATACATCCCGCAGGTGGTACGATATGGTTGGGATCTCTATCGATAGATAAAATCATGCTTGCATTTTTTAGTTAAAAGCAGAGACTTAAATTCGCAATCCCGTGCAAGGAAGACATTAATTTGTTAGCATTTACTTAGGGTTAGGAGCTTAATTAACAGAGGACCTCTAGGTTTAATTAGTGTTGGGGGCAGGTTCGAATCCTTCATACCCCACTCGGTCCTCCGTCGTCTGGGCCTCACAGTTAGAGGCAGGTGTCGCCATTTCGCGAAGTTTGCTATAGAGCGAAGTTTTCTAGATAAACATACATGGACAACTAGGTATTTCATTCAATAAACCCTTATTAAGTAATTCCTTTCTCAGTTCTAGCTTCTATGGAACAACAACTATATTAGAGACTTTCCCCTGTGTGCCATTATAAAATATCGTAATCCCCTCTGTGCCCCTGGAAAAATTCAGCGGTCTTCAGCGCCACTACTTCAACTTTTTCGGGTCCTCCATGCCACTTCCGTCAGTTCGGGCTCTAACGCCGTCAAACTACAGGTGTGAAAAGACGAAAATGCCCTTAAGTTCAAATATGTTATTAATTTTTTTTTGAGCATCTTAACGACTTCAAATGAAAAAACTCAATACTAGAAAGTTGTAGATCTCGTCGAGATCTATAATTTTTATATAAAAATTATTTTCATTTAATTCCGCAAAAAAAATATGATGATTTTTCTAAGATATATTAATCATATCAAATCGCGCGTCCTGAATCAAATATGTTATTAATTCTGCCTCGCCAAAGCCAATTGTGCCACACTCGCGCGTCCTCGCACGGCCACGCTGTCTGTCCTGAAGACCCTGAAGGCGCAACTAAAGATGGCGATGCAGAGGATGGCCAAGGCACTGTGGCCCGTCCGACACAACCCGACCCACGCCACGTCAAGCCCAGAAGCAGCGTCCGCGTCAGGCTGCCCAACAAGCGCGTTACCGGGCCACAGTGGGCTTGAATGGTAGGAAAGAGTAGCTGCGCTACGTGTCGCCCATCGATTGTATAAAGACGGAACTTGGAGAGGAAGAGAGGCATGCAAAAATTAAACTCTGAATTATTGCCTACTATCTGAATTCTGAAGTTGTCCTTACTACTACCTGCTCCCGGTCCCCTCTTCCATGCCTCTCTTAACTCCTACACTAACATCTGGTATCAGAGATGATCGATCCGTGATTGCCAAAAATTCTTTAATCCGTCAATCTATTGGCAACAGCCTTGGGTTCGACTGAGGTCATTGGTCGTCGGTGAGCTGATGTCGCTGGCGATTTCTCTATAATTCCTAGGCACGCCAATTGATTCGCGGAAATGCTCTGCTTAGGGCGTCCGGACGCTCCCGTTCTCATGGACCACGACGGTCTGAACGGCTGACTGCGTCTTTCCCTCAACAACTCTACTCCAGAAGTTTATAAAAAAATCCACTTAAAAAACATTCGGCTTCTGGCTTCACTCGACTCCAGATACGCAACCTCCGGTCGCCGCCGAGCCCGCACCGCCGCGGATTCCGGCGTGGTCCACGCGACCGCTGCAGCGTGCCCGGCCGCTTGCCTGGCGCCATCCTTCCTATCCACCGTGCTGAGCGCTGCCACCTGCCTTCCTGTCTCTCTATCGTAGTTCCCCACCAGGTAGGGCGTGGCTACTGGTGATGCCGTGTTTCAGGTGTTTCAGACGTATGTTTTCAAGTGTTTCATCTGGATGTTGCATATGTTGCAATGGCTATATACGCATGTTTCAAGCGTATGTTTTGAGTGTTTCAGACGTATGTTTCAAGTATTTTCATCTGGTTGTTCCATATACATGCATGTTGCAAGCGTATGTTTCAAGTGTTTCAGGTGTTTCATACATATGTTGCAAGTGTTTCATCTGGATGTTGCAAAAGTAGATCTAGATGTTGCATATGTTTGCAATGGCTACACACGTGTTTTCAAGTGTTTCAGGTGTTTGCAACTATTTTAGCATGCTGTTTCAGACGTATGTTGCAAGTGTTCATCTAGATGTTGCAAAAGTAGATCTGGTGTTACACATGTTGTAATGTGACCTACCTGCCGTAGTCGCCTGCTGCAACTGCTGGGGCACTGCCGAGCGGGCGTAGAAGGTCCCTGCGTGTATGCGCGTGGGAAGCAGAGGGGGCGCTAGCGATCCTCGCGTGCGGCTAGGCGACGTGGGCAGGGTGAATCGTTCAGGCGGCGTGGGCCCCCGCATGGGCGCGTGAAACGGAGTAGGCGCGAAAAACAGGGTGCAGGCGCGGGCGTCAGGACGCAGGCATCCATCCGGATGTCTAGGCTCTAGTAGTGAAAACGCAGGCATCCGTCCGGATGTCTAGGCTCTAGTAGTCCCCATGAGCGGCGGCACCTAGTGCTCACCCGCGGAAGAGGTTCGATGGGATGGGAGAGTAACAGTAGCTAGGGGGGAAAAGATCGAAGCGGTATTTTTCATAACTAGTGGCAGGTGGGTAAATTTTTAAAGTTGTCCACCTCCATAGCAGGTAAAAGCAGGGGAGTTGCTCTGGGATTTGTACTAGAGGAAAAGAAGTTTTTGGCACAAAGCAGGCTATGGCCTATGAGTTGCCACCTCTTTGGTTGGCTTTTGGCTTTTGAGAAGCAAAAGCAGGTTGGATGGTTGTATATTGTTAGCATTCATCACAAAGTCATGAGGAGGGCGTGGGAAAGAAAATCACAATATTTTCATTTGTTTCTTGTTCCATTGTTCATCGCAGAATTTCACTCATTATTATTACTTCGTTCCAAGAACTAATAAATTTAATTTGGCGGCACGCAGGCATGAAGCCTGTTCGGTTGGCTGGTTCATATCGTTGCTGGTTCGTGAAGAAGTACTGCTGGCTGGTTTGTGTGAGAGAAAAATATTGTTTCAGCTGGAAATTTACGATCGTATACGACAAGCACAAGCCAAACGAACAGGCTGACGGTTGCATTCAGCCTGTGTAGAAAAACAAGGAGTATTGCCACCTATCCTAAAACAACACCAACACTTACTTCCTATGCATGCTGGGAAATGGGGATGGTAGAAGAATGCAGGTGGAAGATGAATGGACGTCCCATCCCCATCATCAGATTCATACATGCCTCTAACTGTTTGTTGAAGATGAAAAACATTTGCCACCATAATTCCTTTGCATGCTAAAAGGACATGATCAGTCATATATATATATATATATATATATATATATATATATATATATATATATATATATACACACACACACACTGCACAGTATCTGAAAGATTGCTGAGAAAAAACAGTGATAGCAGCAATAGTGCAGCCATGTGCTTTGTGTACTTCTCCATGTAAGAGTAGGTGTGCAATTTGATGCTTTGGTCCTCGTCGGCGAGTAAGTGCGCTAGTAGAATATAGAATACTAGACTGCTGA